AGGTAAGCCTCGCTGGACTCCTGCAGAGCCATGACGGCGGAGCTCTGGAAGCGCAGGTCGGTCTTGAAGTCCTGAGCGATCTCCCTGACCAGGCGCTGGAAGGGCAGCTTGCGGATCAGCAGCTCGGTGGACTTCTGGTAGCGGCGGATCTCTCTCAGAGCCACGGTACCGGGCCTGTAACGGTGAGGCTTCTTCACGCCGCCGGTGGCCGGCGCGCTCTTACGGGCAGCCTTGGTGGCCAGCTGCTTCCTGGGGGCTTTGCCTCCGGTGGACTTACGGGCGGTCTGCTTGGTTCTTGCCATTGTTTAAGTTAGTCTGCTTCCGTTTCTCGAGGAAACAAGATATCGTGAAGGAAGTGTCTGCTGCATATATAGCCAAGGCCGGCACACTGGCAACGCTGATTGGTCCAGTGTAAGCACGTGACACAGCAGCTCAGCTAAAAGCAATCGAAAACATAAATGTAATTTATTAAACTGTGCTGTTGATACTACTCTTATTAATCAGGAAATATCATAAATTTTTTAAAAAATAATATATGATAAAATTTTGTATAAAACTGTTATTGATGTGAGACAGCCACAGAATATTTATTGTATTAACTGTACCAAATATTGGTTACTGCTACTAAAATTCTGCTGTATTATTTTGATTTATTATATATTTGATCCCAAACTGCTTTAAACTACCCTCATTCACACAATAAACCAAAGTCTCTCAGTTTTCATGTACATATCAAGTCAACTTTATTTGTCAATATCACATATGCACTAGACATACGGACAACTGAAATAGCGTTACTCTCAGACCCGTATTGCAGCTGTGTACACATAAATCTAGAACTAAAAATAAAGAAAATATATACAATATAATTCCAAAATATACAATATAGATCTAGCTAAGCTATACAGGGGAAAAAAAAAGTCCGGATAGAAGTTACAAATTTAAATAATAGGAACATTATATATATATATATATATATATATATATATATATATATATATATATATATATATATATATATATATATATATATATATATAAACAAACTAGGCTCATGAAGGCCTTTATCACAGGGGCTAGTGATGATCCTGACTGGTACAAGTGGTCAGTCACTGGTGTGGAATAATTAGCACCAGTCTCAAGTAAACTCACGGTCTGTGCTACTTTAAAAATGTAGATTTGTAATTTGCAAGATCACAATGATTGAAGTTTCAATTGTTGACATCATCTTTCCTGATGATATCTTCTTTTTCACTGAGACTAAAGATGAGTGGATGAACCAGTGTGCCTTAAAAGCTGCAGTGTGGTGATGAGAGGAGGAGAGGACTCGAGATGTTTAATGACATAATGGACAAAGAATGCTATCTTTATTTGTATAATTGTAAATTTAATAATAGGGTTACAGATATGTAGGAGTTATTTTGAATGTCCAGGGTTCTGAAAGTAAAAATCTATTAAAAATCTATTGATAAAAATCATTGGTTCACAACTGGTGGGTAGCGGTCCAAAAGTGGGTCACAAGTTTGTAAAAACACAAAACAAAAAAAACAACTTTATTTTTAAGACAGTGAATTTCCAGCACAGAGCTTTTATTTTGAAGTGCCATTTCCTGCTGTTGAGTGAGAGACGAACGGACGGCTGCTTGACAGAGACAGAAAACAAGCTTGACAACATGGCCAAACACAAGTATGATGCTGAACGTATTAAACTGTGTGGACCTTTAACTAATGACTGAGGAGAAATCTGGACCCTGAGGCTGGACCAGTTGGGAACCACTGATATAAATCATCTTTTTCTGTACAGATAATAGTAACGGTTAAAGCTCTTTCAAGGTTTGGATAGACAGAAGACATCTGGTATCTTTGTTAAAATGTCACAGACAAAGTAAGAAGAAATGGAAGGTTGGTTTATTTCAGCTTAGAGCTACAAATGGGGGCCACTGAGGGGCAACGGGTGGGTCACAGGACACAGGCAACAGATGTTCACCAACGGCCCAGCCACGACCAATGGCTGACCCTCAGTGGAAACAAACCTTTTATTTACTTTAATTTCACAGAGAGAAAGAATTAATTGTGAGGACAATTAAGCCTCCACAAAAATAGCATTTTAAGTCTTGTGTGTGATTTATATTTTGGGGATTTATACTTCATACAAGCAGATGAAATCTCCACTTATTGCTAGGCTAATTTATACAATGTAAAATGCCATAGGCTTGTGCTAATAACGTTAGCATGTTGTATTTGTTGGGAAAATGTGTCCAGATAAAGACAAGTGTTTGTCTGTGAATGCTGCGAGTTATAGTGAAGCTGATTTGTGAACTTGTGTTTGAAATTGTCTCTATTAAGCCATGTTTAATGTGTGTTTAATGTGTGTTTTGAATCAACTAAACTTTACAGCACACAGAAACCGTGATGCAGACTAGTGTTTGTTGGTGTTACTGCAGAGTGACACAGACACACCACCGCACAAGCAAAAATGCTCACAATGGTGTAGGCCATGTGCGTAGGTTTTGCTGCACAAGTAGCCTTTAAATGCCCCTTTAGTATTTACACTGACTGCTGCCTTTTTGGATGTGAATGATTTGGGTGTCTCTGACCACAGATGCATCACGTTCTCCACCCTGTTTCACACTGTCCCCAGCCGTAAATTACCGGTCCATTACTCCGGCTCTATAAATGAGTCCAAAGTGGATTTAAGTCCACCATGCCTTCTGAACACAAACCGCTCCACAGTCACTTTGCTCTTTGCCTTTGTACCTAGCCCTCTAGATTACATGCTGTTGACCTGGGATGCTTGAAAAAACAGATGCAACTACGTCGACTTGTAACTTTTGCAAGGACGCAGGACGAGGAGTAGTTTGGTCTACAGAAGATTCTGTGCGTCTCCAGATGTGGAATGTAGAATAATCAAACAGAAACACTGAGGTTTTCCTCTGATTTTCAGTTAATCTGAAAGTGAGGGGCTTCATAATCGCAAACACCCTGTGAAAACACCCTGAAGTGCTATGTCATGGGCAGCTGGACTTGCTTGCATTTCTTGAAGATGTTTCACCTTTCATCCAAGAGGCTTCTTTAGTTCTAAAATGGATTGGACTCATGGTTTTGGCGAGGAAAGGGGGTCATTGAGAGCTCCCAACTCCATTAAAACAGCTCTGAGCTGCTGGCTGCCTCCCTCTTCCACTGCTCCAGGTGTCTCTCATTAATCACCACAGCAACGACCACTAACACAAAAAGTGTGTGTGTGTGTGTGTGTGTCTCAGAGAGGACAGCAGTAAAGGAACCTTCTGCTGCTCTCTGCCCCTCCTCTCTCCACTCCACTCACCATGGCAACCACTCACTGGCAGACTTTCCATGGCCATTTTGCCGGCAAGCTGCGAGCGTTTAGACACACAGCGCCAGATTGGCGAGTTGATCCGTGGCGCCCAATTTTCCGCCTCGTAGGGTAGACATATTGGTGGAACCTTTTTGGTTTAAAAAGACCGAGGCGGCCTTCCGCAAAGGGAGGAGCTGTTGATGACGCCGCACGTGCGAGCCACTGGCAGTGGATAAACAGGAAACAGCTAATAGCAGGAATTAGCGAGCAGCTAGTAGCAAGAGGGAAACACAAACCTGACAGACACTGTAAAGATGAGCAACTGGGGAGACAAGGAATTGCGCGCCCTCCTTGTCCTCGCAAACGAAGAGGCCATTAACCGTCAGATGACGGGGACGGTGAAGAACGGGCCGACTTACGAGAGAATCACCGAAGGACTGACCAGCCGCGGCTTCCCTCCCACATCACTGTTCACGTCACACGCTGAGCTACACGTTTTGTTACTTGCTCACGCCCCCCATTGCCCCGAAAAAGGCACATTCTGTATAAACAAAAGTAGGTAGGCGGCATTTTGCTGCACTCCCCGATTTTGTTTTTATACTGCCAATGCTGAAAGAAGACTGATTGGGCTTTCCTGCAAATTTGCACAATTCTACTAAAAAAGGCTAATGACAGCTGGGTGTCTGTGCTTGTCACTGAATCTCAAATGCAAAGATTAGAGCAGCTGAATCTCCATTTTAAACAGCATGTAAACATTATATACCAGTGTTTTCCATATGTCATATCCTACTACAACTACTACAATATTACTGTTGCTACTTTTAGGATTATGAATGATAAATACACACTCAACATGTTGTAAATAAAAACTTTTTACACAAAAAGTGCTCAGTACTTTTAGTACTGTGGTACATGTAATATGCAGTACTTGTACTAGGCAGTACATATCAATGATTCATATCAATACTTGCTTCGGGTTTGGCAGTAGCTGCAGGCACCGGTCAAAATTTCTTGTGAAATTTTCTAGTTAGGCCTTAATATTTCAGGACACATTCATTTACCTTAGTGTATTCACTGCTACTGTTTGCACCTGGTTAGATGTCACTGATTTATAAAGACTTTCAATAATCCAAATAGCTCCGAATTTTGTCATTTCACACAGTAAGTAGTAACTACAACAAAATCAATGAATCTAAATTATACTTGTTCAGCGGTTACACCAACAAAACACTAGTCAGCGATGGAGGTTTCTGTGAAGTGCTGTAAAGTTGAGTTGACACAAAACACACATTAAACATGACTTAATAGAGACAGTTTCAAACACAAGTACACAAATCAGCTTCACTATAACTCGCAGCATTCACAGACAAACACTTGTCTTTATCTGGACACATTTTCCCAACAAATACAACATGCTAACGTTATTAGCACAAGCCTATGGCATTTTACATCGTATAAATTAGCCTAGCGACTAGCAGAGATTCTCTCTACTCATATGAAGTCAGGATAAATAATAATATGAAGTTAGGATAAATAATCATTTAAAATGTTATTTTTGTGGAGGCTTTATTGTGTTTACAATTTATTGTTTCTTAACTGTGAAATTAAAGTAAATAAAGGAAATGGTTTCAGCTTACAGAGACAGACAGGAGGTCTGCGTCACCACAATGTGTAGTTACATTTCTGGTCAGGTGCACGTCAGGCCACAGCATATGTATGGCATTGATTCAACACAGCAGTATAAATCTGACATAAGAAGTCGCAGTTACTTTGTGTGTGTCTTTAAGAGACTCATACCAGTGGCTTTATAGAAAGACCATTTTCACACAGTGTTCACAATACAAAAAGTAATTTAATTACTGTATTTGAAACAAAATAAGATACATGGAGTGTATTAAATATATCGCCCACCCGTACCTGTGAGTCAGTAAAAGTTATTTTGTGTTGATACAAGTGTCCCAACTGACCCCGCTCTCCCCTACTCCTAAAGACTCTCTGTTTACATCTACCACAAATGTTTATTTATTATATTTCACCCCACATTATAACCACTGCACTTCATCTTTTATATTCTGTATGTCTGTCACACACACACACATTATATCAGATCCAGGAAAAGTGCTCTTTAATCGCATTTGGGCGGCTCTGAGAAGAGCCTTTTAGTCAGTGAAGCAAACTTTCATTTGCACTACTTCGCTGCGTTTTTACCTGCTTCAGATTTCTTGGGAGGTTTTGCCTTAGCGTTCTCGATTCTCCGAACCTCGGCGGCCAATTTTACTGCGATCAACTCGGCGGCATCACCCCGCTTGAAGGATCCCATGGCGCCAATTCCCTTCGGCGTAGTTTGGACAATGGCTTTTTTCGACAACAACCAGTTAATACCGCTTCTGATGACGCGATTGTTGCCCTCCACATCGATATCTAGGGCAGCCAGTTCCTTCTTCAATGCTATAGTGGATATACCTTTCCGGTCCTGGTAAGCGCACACTGCTTTTAAGATGAGCTCGGCAACATTACACCTGGGGATTTTTCTAACCGGGTCTAGTTTCCGAGGCTGACCGCCAGATGATGTCGTGAGTTTAGCTTTAGGTTTAACCATTGCTGTAGCACAGACACCCTCCACTGCAGTCTGCTACATCTGAACAAGCACTTCCGTTAAACAGAGGTACTAACACACCCCATGAGAACCGTAGAGACTCAGCCGCTCTGAAGTGCAGCTGGAGCACTGACACACTTGTGTTTTCTCTTTACCTATAAACGTATAAAATACACATCTGGAGGAGGCACTAACGTCTAAAATCAAATAGAAATAACAGCGAGTGAGTTTCTCCTTATACACAAGTGACATAAAGCTTTGAAGACTTTTGAGAATCCTTTAAACTTCCCCCAACTCCTGCCGCGAGAGGCTCTGCTCTGTGACTTTTTCCTGCAGTTCCGCCCCTAAATGTTTTAAAATACCTTCGAAAACCACTGACACCAGTTAGATGCTGAGATTAGCCGTTTGTTTAAGTCTCAAAGTGAAATCAGTCATCTGTTGCTGTTGAATCTGTATGAAAAAGAGGTTAGTTTGGTTTCTGCAAACACACTTACAAGTTCATTGGAACTTTGCGCTTGCCGTGATGAACAGTCACTGTGGATATCAGTTACGTTATTCTGCTTTAAAATTCATTCATTTAATCCAAATTTTACGTACATCAAAGTCCGGAAAGTGAACGCACATAAAATAACTATATCATAGAGTTGTTGTTGTTGTTGCTGTTGTTGTTGTTGTTTTACTTTGGGAGATCCACTCAGCTTCTTACTGTTGCAAACCGAGTCAGCTGTTCATGTGGTCCGAGGCCAGTATAAAGCTAAAGTAAATGCCATTATTTGATTAAGATAAATATGAGTGTGATTATAACATGTAGTGTCTATAGTGTTTATTCCCTTTTGTATTAATGATTCATGTACTGTTATTAGTGGGCAAGTACTAGTGGTAACATCTTCACTTAAGAAAAGATCCTAAGATGAGTTTGGGATGCCTTTATATTTCTGTATATTCAAGACATGCTTTCATGTTCTCATTTAATACCTAAAAACCTGGCAGAAGTATTATGAAGTCACTGCCTCTGAAATGAAAGTGAGCAAGTTTTTAACATAATATAACTAGGACCAAGGTCATAAGTTTTGTTGTGACGTTGTGGTGGGCCACATGTGAAACAGAGTCTTACAGGTCTCTGTCAGAAAATTTGGAGCATCAGACACTCTGCATTCTGGTGAACTGAATTTCTGCCTTTTATGCATCAGTTTAACATTTAAGTGTTTTTTGTTTTGTCAAAATGAAGTTTCTTTGCTACTTTCATGTTTTTACTGGGGGGACAAATGCACAGGTTAAAAGTCCTCTGAACAGAACACTTGACCTTCCTCAGGTGCAACCACTTTCCTCTAATGAGAGCAGTTGCGTAGTGGAAGGTATACTCAGGTATACGGGGTATACCCACTTCTTTTTCTATCCAGTGACAGTTTACCCACCTATCAACTAAACAGCCATATACCACCTCATCAACCACTACACCACTGAATGAGAGGATATATGTTGCCTTCACCCTTGCTTGGTCTTTTGGATGGCAGAAATATGTCCTGTATGATATATTTAGAAACATTAATATTCTCCTAATGTTGCTCTACTCTTCCAGTGACTGTTTTAATTCTAAATATTCTGGTTTATAGTCATTATATGAATATGTATGGTAGTTATATAGTAACACCTGTTCAGGGAATAGAAAATATCACAATATTTTAATCCAAATACGTCAATAGTGATATTTTAAAAGTATTGCAGATTTGACTGTTCATAAATTCTGAACATTACCAGCACACTGACAGATGTTAATAAAGTGTAATTAAGTGAAATAGAGCAGATTTTGTAAAGGAGCAGTTTCCAAATTGGCCATTTTAGGTACATTTGTGTGCCACCTGTGCCTCTCGTGAAGCTGTAAAACACACTCAGTGTCACTTACTTAAGTATTACTGTAGAACTTTAGGTATTAATTTTGTCTGAAAACAACTGTTGATTGATTACATTCCCACCTTCAGCATTTCTTTCTGATACAACTCGCTCACGACCAAACACAAGACAAAACTCTCCCATATAACTAATCAGGCCAGCAAAATAATCTGCTCACATCAAACTCTTCTATCTGAACTGTAAAACCGCTCAGTGATCAGGAAAGCCACCCCCAGTACAAAGTCTGACTGGCCCTGAAAAACATCTACAAGAAATCCTCCATTCCCTCTGCAATAATCCCCCTGAACAATCTAAAACAGAAACTGCACTTTAACCTGATTTTCTGTTTTAACACTCCCCTTTTTGTATTTTAAATGTGTTTTAAATGTGAATTATATGTGTTGCCAAAGCTTGTCAAAGGAGAATTATCTGTCACTGTTGGGACAGACAATCTACAGACAGAATAACCTTGTCATGAAAGATGATAAAAACCAGAATAGGACACTTAGTACCAGATTCAGTCAGAAGATGGAGACACAGACTGTGGCCCAGAAGGTGGAGACAAAGGAAGTCACCTTCCGTTCTCCTGGCAGTTCAAATAACCAGAGACGTTGTTCACAGACTGAAGCACACAAGAAATAAGCCTGGAGGCCATTTGTCACACATTTCTACCAATTTTTAACGGCCTGAAGCAAGATTTGACTACAAAGCACAGTTTGTTGCTGTGAATGTTTATGGTAGTTATACTGCTGGCATCAGTGGATTGTCAGGATTCATTTCATGTGTCATTTGTGTGGAAACCTTGTCATGAAAGATATTGGGAGCGCTGCAATACAAGCATGTGTGTTCAGGCAGATAATACTTTTTGCGTATAGGTCTCTTTCTGCTTCCCCTCAACTGAATCATAGTTTCTCTGACAATGTATAAAACTAGTCCAAACCCATTGAGTGCACAGTTACGTACATGTATAGTTTCACATGGTGTGTGTTTGGGATACAGGTCATAGGAAATTGCAGATTAAATAGTGAACTGATCTCATTAAGAAGAGCAACGTATTCAGAGTTTTTGAAAAACGTGGGACTGACAGAATGACACACTGACAGTTTCCATGATTATGTATAGTAAGATAATCAAGAATGAAGCTTACTACATAATGTCTGGTGTTAACAGTTTGTGTGAGCTTTGGCTCATCAGCCATCTAAAGAAGTGTGAGAGCCTTTGTGTCCAGTGTTAAACATACCCGTTAAACACATTTCATATATTACAAACTATAATCTTTATGTGGTTGTATCATGACTTTAAATACAAATAACCGATAATAATAGTTTCAAGAAGTGTGCAAGCCAGTGGCCCATCCCTGTCTGAGTGTGTTTACAGATGCCAAAATAGCCTCTGTTTAACGAAAGATATTCACAAGACTTGACTCTTTTTACATTGAGCGTCTGAACAAATGTCTCTTCTCACTGTTTAACTCTTTTAAACGGACTTCTAGTGTATTTTAAAGCACTTAGGGGAGAAAGCACAAGGAAAAGACGCGCAGCAGCGTCTGTCACAGCGGCAGATTGATGAGATTTAAAGACTTCCCAAACAAGCTGAAGAGCAGCTTTAGATTTCATTTGACCTGTAACTCCTATGCTTCCAGCTCGATTCAAGTTTAGACTTTAACCCTTCCCCAGATGTGTGCCTTATGCGTTTATGTGCGAAGAGAAAACACAAGTGTGTCAGTGTTCATGCGGCACCGGAGAGCAGCAGGCTGGGCTGAGTCTCCACGGTTCTCATGTTGTGTTCAAGTACCTCTCTTTGCAGGATGTGACGTTGCAGTTGTAACAGACTGGGCAGAGGGGAGTGTAGTGATAGAAAAATGGACGGACCCCCGAAAAATGAACCTCGCAGGAAGAAGAACGCCCCTCTGGGCACCGCTGACCTCGTCTTTAGGGCGGTGTCCGCCACCAAAGACCGTAAAGGTATGTCTTATGTCGCTTTGAAGAAGGCACTGGCCGCGCAGGGCTACGACGTGGAGACCCATGCTATCCAAATTAAACGCGCCGTTAAGTACTTGGTAAAGACAGGAGCCCTGCTGCAGATGAGTGGGTGCGGAGCTTCCGGGTCTTACAAGGCGAACAAGAATGCTGGTAAGCCCACATCAGTAGCGGACAAGGCCGCCGCCAAGAAGCCAAAAGCAGCAACGCCCAAGAAAGCAGAAAAGCCTGTAGCAGCTAAGAAAACCCCAGTCTCGAAGAATAAAAAGACCTCGAAGAAGAAGGCCTAACAACACCCAAGATGGCTGCTTTACTCTAAGTCTGTATCCCAACTACTATCCCAAGTTTGCGTCTAAGAAGTGAAGTTTGCTTCAAATAATCAGGCTCTTCTAAGAGCCATCCACATCCAGAAAAGAGCATATGTCTACTATTTGTGTCTTTGTCATTGCACCAAGTTTATTCGTATATGTGCAGACAATTATAGAGAAGCTATTATTGCTAAACTAACATGAGAGGCTCATAAATAGTGCTGAAGTAGCAGAAAGCGCCTGAAAGACGCATGAGTAAAAGTATCCTGCAGATTTCTCGCCAGAAAATGATTCTGGAATGAGTTTAAGTCACCTTCTGGAGTAAAATTATTTAAGTACTTGATATTTGTTGTACTTAACTTTTAAAGGTATTTTAAAGTATTGAAAGTAAAACAAGAATACGTTCTTTAAATAAAATAAAAAGTAGTTTATTTCTTAGTGAGGTGTATGCTAACATAAGAATGGAGGCTACATTACAGAACAAAAGATCAAAATCTAGTTTTCCGTCACTCCCATGGTTGAGTACAAGTCAAAGTTGACTGACATTCAAAAGTAAAGTGCAGATACTCCCCAAAATACCAATGGTGAATGCAGGAAATTACACTCCCTTGTGTCACATAATTACGCGTCACTGAAGGTAACAAGTGCTTTATTTTGAGAAATTGATCAACCAGACCTTTTCTACATGTTCGCAGTCAAAGAAAACTATAGCACGTGGACATAATACCTAGTAAGGGACTGTTCTCTACTTATCAACAGAGGAGAGTAGCAGAGGTGTGACTCTCCTCACAGCTACAAATATTTTCCCCTCAGCCTTCCTGAGTGACAGGGGGAGGAAGCATGACCCTCAATCCACAATAACTTGTTTACTGGATTTTTTAAAACTTGAAAGTTGAAACTTGTTGAAGGTAAAATCCAGGAGATGACAAAAGCCTTAGTTTTTTGCTCTTGTCGTTTTATGCTGGTGTAACAGGGTTAATATACAGCATGTATGATTTCACTTGCCATGGCTCACACTGCTTTATTTTATTGCTTGCTAAAACAGATTTATTTTATGGTCAGCAAACGCAACACCCCTGCAGACTAGGGTCGTGTACCCGGAAGATCTGATAGGTGCGCATGTTATCAGCTCCGTAATTATTTTGTATTTTTTATCATAATTTTATAAGGGGTTGTTTATGTTACCTTTTGTAAAACTTGAGCTCCCCTTGAGCACGTCCTTTTGAAAAAGCTGACTTGTTTTTAATTTGTGTGTAACCTGGTTAGCATAACACAGGGTTTAGCTAACTTGCACTCCCTTTTTATTTCATATTCCCAGTGTGAGAGCACGTGTAGAATTGAGGCCAAGACTGACTGTACAATTATTCTTCTGCCAGGTACGCTTTTCGTGTATTTTATGTTCATTTTAAAACTAAAGCAACAGTTTGGCTGTACTGTCTCCCTGTGTGAGAGCACGTGTAGAAATGAGGCCAAGACTGACTGTAAAATATTTCCTCTGCCAGATGCCGGAATAAATGGCGAGTGTCAACAGCGATCTGATTTTCCTCATGATTATACACAACGCAAGCAAGAGAGAGTACACAACCGCTACACTGGTTAGTTATTGTTTATTTTTGTAGAATAAACCCAGGACGTGTGGAAGGCATGTTTCCTTTAAAAAAATCTGTGGTAAAATGAATACAAATTAGAGCTATTTAGCTGAATGCCCCTCCCTTTAGCCAAAATTAATAGATAAAAAAGTCCCTCCTGTACTTAAAATAAATATTTGACATGCATTCCCCTTTTGTGCACCACCCCTCCCCTTCATAAGCAATGAACAGTCCCTAATAAAAAATTAGAATAGCAGCGTTAGTTCTACATTCAGCCTCTAGATGGAGACACAGACCGTGGAATAAAAGGTAGAGGCAGAGGACGTCAGACGACTGCAGATCTCTCCCCTGTCAATACAAGTCAATAGAAACGGTGTTTACTGAAAAACTACACTGAAGAAGGCGTGGAGGTAATGGATTACACATGTTTGGCAGTTTTATGCAACCGGACACAAGTTTTGACTAAGGAAAGATACCATAGTTGTAAATGAAGGGAATTTGATGAGGAGTTATATTGCTGGAATCAGAGGATCCACTGGATTCATTGATTGTGTGGATAGATGAAATGAAAGATAGAATCGCTGAAATCTGAGCACGCACTGTGTCGAGTTTGTCTTGATGGATTGCTCTTTGATTTGTTAGAAATTTTTATGCTTGCTGACTCTGACTTTTTTTTAGCCCAAAACAGTATGCAACGTGACTGTCCTCACATGACCAGATGCCTCAAGACGTGCTTAATGATTAAACTAATATCCACACTGTAAATATCTCACCTATAGTCCTTGGTGGATTATGACACAATGGGCCCCCTGGGTACAGAGATGCAAAGGCCCCACCATCAACAGAGGAGCAAGACATACAGACGTTGTGGAGGTTTGGCTTATTTTTATTGTTTTTATTTTGTACTTCTAGTCTCTTCATAGAGATTTTCTGTCTATTTTAGGTTGTTTTGTGTCTTTGTGGTTACTTAGCATCTATTTCTTTTACTTGCATCTCTCTCTGAATCTCTTCTTCAGCAGAATGATTCAACACCTTGGGCCCTGTAGGCCCTTTCAGTAATCCATCCATCCCTATAGCGTATTCATATCAATACTTGTGCACCATATATTTTGTCCAATTGCTGCACATGTTCATACTGTACAAACTGTAGGCCTGTATTTCTTCATGTCTAGCCCTTACTCTTCATATATAGTGGTGGTTATATAAATGATGCTTGCATCATTCTGCACTTTACTGCTCTTTGTGAACTGCATGGCAGTGTCCGAGTAGAACTCTGTGCAATATCAGTAAAGATGCCTCTAACATAATATTAGTGACATTACTGAGGTTAAAGATACCAAAACGAAAACCTAAACATTAATTTGAAACATTTTTTAATATCAGTTGCATTTTTGTACTTGGACCATACACCTCATTTATCAGGAATGAACTTAAGCTGCACTTTTGTTTTAGTTGTGCCCAGAAATACACTAAACAAAAATATAAATGCAACACTTTTGTTTTTGCTCCCATTTTTCATGAGCTGGACTCAAAGATCTAAAACTTTTTCTACAAACACAAAAGACCATTTCCCTATTTTTTCCTTACTTAGTGTACATTAAACTAAACCATTACAAGCTGTAACTTACAGATCCCCTAAAGCCATAAGAAACAAGCCCAATATGTAGACCCATCACACAGACATGAAACCTTGAAGTAAACAGTACAAATACTTACCTACGATAGAACCATGTAATAATACAGCCAGCGTGAAGTTAAAGTGTCATACAAATATTATGATATTTTTCTCTGATGGATCTGCAGTGAATATTAACAATATCCCATACGATAAATTAAATGAATTGAGAAAATGTACAGTAAATATCTTAAAAAGTCAGTTTTCCTGCTGCAAAGCCTATAAATATATTTAGTGAGATCTGCGGCACTTAGAACTTCTACATGTCCAAAATCATGAAAAACATGACATAAACTGTGAAAAGATCTAAATTGTGGTTGAGCTGTCACAAAATTACCCATAAAATGGAGTATGTTCTTGTTGTTTTTGTTAGTTGTATCATTATTATTATCGTTAGTATTCACTTCTCTTATTTTGTAAATCTCACACACTGTGGAAAGGCGGGAGTCTTGTACTTCCTACAGTATGGTGACGTACCTCTTTCTGGTTGGATGATCATATGAGGACCAATGAGAGACTAGATAGTTGCTATATAAACCGGTGCCAACTCTCGAATGATATTCAAGCTTCTCAAGCTCTATTGAAACAGTAAACGTCAGCATGTCTGGTCGCGGGAAAACCACCGGGAAAGTCAGAGCCAAGGCAAAGACCCGCTCCTCTCGTGCCGGCCTTCAGTTCCCAGTCGGCCGTGTTCACAGGCTGCTGCGTAAAGGAAACTATGCNAAAGACCCGCTCCTCTCGTGCCGGCCTTCAGTTCCCAGTCGGCCGTGTTCACAGGCTTCTGCGTAATGGTAATTATTCTGAGCGTGTCGGTGCTGGAGCCCCCGTTTACCTGGCGGCGGTGCTGGAGTATCTGACCGCTGAGATCCTGGAGCTGGCTGGAAACGCCGCCCGCGACAACAAGAAGACCAGGATCATCCCCCGTCACCTGCAGCTGGCTGTCCGCAACGACGAGGAGCTCAACAAGCTGCTGGGCAAAGTCACCATCGCTCAGGGCGGCGTGCTGCCCAACATCCAGGCTGTGCTGCTGCCCAAGAAGACCGACAAGGCCGCCAAGGCCAAGTAAAGCCCCGCGCTGATTTAACCACTCCCAACGGCTCTTTCAAGAGCCACCCACTTATCTTTTTATTGAGCCAAGTCCTTAAAGATTTTCAACGCTTCGTAATTATATAAAACAAACATCAAGCTATACAGTATTGGAAGAAATACAGCACACAGTGCTTTATAATAACTACACTATATCAGGTGGAGCCAACTTGCTACATTACTACAAATTCCCTTTGTAAAGCTGAAACTAGTATTTGAAAGTTTAAGTTTAGTGTAATTTATGTATAAATTTGCAAAATCGCACTGATTATCATAGCCAGAAAATGTTGCCAAATAGTAGTTGGTAACTTTTAGTCCTGTGTTTGTTGCTTGGCTTGGTTCTATCTAAGAACGAGTCATACCACAGCCACCACCTTAATCTGGTAAGTAAAGAACAGTCCCTAAGGGCATTATATGTACCGAAGGCTTTACAAAGTAGACATAATGGACATAAAACAGATGAACATTTCAATATAAAAGGTAACTTGAATATGCATACATGTAATGATGAAATTATAAGATATAATTTATAACATCAAGTTAGATACAACAGTTTAAAAGAACTGCAGTACTGTTAAATGTAAAGAGAAAGGTGTTGTTTTGTCTGTAAGTGTCTGACAGCAAAGATCCCTACAGAGACAGATCTTTATGTTAAAGAGTAAGATCATTTTTGTTTAACTTGAAATAGCCCCCAAAATCACCATCACCAAGGGAGAAACAAAAAAAATCAATTATAACAGGGAATTTATACTTATGCATTGAATCAGCGCTGTAGCTATGGCGTAGGTTCCACGTCAACATAGCCTGGCGTGCACCTCTCTAGAATTGTAACTACGCTTTATGGCGACGCAGACCTCCTGTCTGTCTCTGTATACTGACTCCCTCAGTGGAACAAAGCTTTTATTTACTTTAATTTTACAGATAAGAAACAATAAATTGTGATGACAATAAAGCCTCCACAAAAATAGCATTATTAGGCGTGTGTGATTTATCCTGGCTTCATATGAGCAGAGGAAAAGTCCACTACCCACTAGGCTAATCTATACAATATATAATACCATAGACTTGTGCTAATAATGTTAGCATGTTGTATTTGTGGGGAAAATGTGTCCAGATAAAGACAAGTGTTTGTCTGTGAATGCAGCGAGTTTTAGTGACGCCGATTAGTGTATTTGTGTTTGAAATTAAACCATGTTTAATGTGTGTTTTGAATCAACTAAACTTTGCAACACGTCACAGAAACCTCTGCAGCTGACTAGTGTTTTGGAGGTGTAACTGCAGAGTGACACAGACACACCACTGCACAAGTATGCTCACATTAGCGTAGGCTACGTGCTTCATAAGATATTAACTGTATCTTAGGAACATAATAATTATTTTAATCAAATGCTTAATGACTGTAACCTTACTGTTGACCAGTACCCCTCCTGTGTTACAAGACAGGATCATCCCCCTTTAACCTCAGTTAACATGGATATCTGCAAGCTAGATTAACTGTAAACCCTGTAAGTAATGACTCCACAGCTCAAAACAGTGGGCAGTAAACAAAAATTAAAATACCCGTATTTTCGGTGATTTTGTGTTTCATCTAATTTAGTTATCACATTGTGTACGACCTAATGTTCAATATGAAGATGAAAATTAGACAATGACGCTATTGCACATCAAAGGATTCAGTGTCGATGTTCTCACTTTTATTTTGAAGGATTGTTTTATCAACCGGAAATACAGCCGTCTCTACCGTAAGAAAAAAAGAGGAAGAGGAAACTCGTGTTGCTGGGCGGTCTTCAACTACGTCCTCAGAGTGCATTTATATAGTGATGTTCTGAATAGACCTAATCAGTTTTATTTCTTCGGAACAAACTAAAAGCAAACAAGATGAGTGGTCGCGGTAAGGGAGGCAAAGGACTCGGTAAAGGAGGCGCTAAGCGTCACCGTAAAGTTCTCCGTGATAACATCCAGGGAATCACCAAACCCGCCATCCGCCGTCTGGCTCGCCGCGGCGGTGTGAAGCGTATCTCCGGTCTCATCTACGAGGAGACCCGCGGGGTGCTCAAGGTCTTCCTGGAGAACGTCATCCGTGACGCCGTCACCTACACCGAGCACGCCAAGAGGAAGACGGTCACCGCCATGGATGTGGTGTACGCTCTCAAGAGGCAGGGCCGCACTCTGTACGGCTTCGGAGGTTAAATCACTGCCTCAGCTCACCTCAACACAACGGCTCTTTTAAGAGCCACACACATCAACCTAAGAGCTCGTTACCTGCATTGAACTCATGATTAGTATCAATCATTGGAAGCTGCTGTTTGTAAATATGTGCTCCATTGTAGTCCACGTCGATTTATTATACAATAGGTTTATGCCCATGGGTAGAAATTACTTTCACCCACACTGCTTACATTTTAACGACCTGCAAATCATCAGGTCTCAGTAAATCAGCAATCGTAAGCTTTATGCACGTTTGAGACACAAACTGATGGCTAAAACACGTGTTGCTGTGAAAAATAAAATTTCTGTTAATGATGTACTTTTTAACGATATAAGACACGTTATTAATGTCTAATATGTAAGTGTCTGTCCTTGCCAAGTAAGTCAATAATTAACTCACAAGTGCAATCATTTGTTTTTTTAAATGCACCAAGCAGATAAATATAATACTCTTCGTAGACTACTCTACAGTATACACAGTCTAAAACACATTCACTTATATTTAAATGTATTTAATCGGTTAATGTTTTATGTTAAAAACCAAAGATATGTGGCACTTGACTATACTGATCATGTGAGACTGACATCATGATCTTGAAATAAGTATGTTGTACTTATTAAAGCATACACTAATTATATATTTCCATATTAATACAGATAGGAACAGTAACCGTAAGTATAATCATATGATGTACTGTGTTGTGCAGTTTCTATTTTATGTTATGATTTTAGTTATTATGATTAATAATAAATAACTGAATAAGCGAATTTCCCTTTTCATGTTCAATGAAGTTTTGTTTCATCATCTTATTTTAATTAAAGCACGTTTTATAACAATACACGATGTCGAAAGGCCACGTGCCTAAAGCGAATGTAACACTTCCGCATAGTAACTCTATAACGCCATCAGAACTAACCAATGGCAGAGTGGGGACGGCACAGCAAAATTTGCATTCAGTTGATATAAATACAGACAGTGTCGTTTAAGTTTCATACACACTTCGGTGAACACGACAATCGCGACGATGCCTGATCCACCTGCACCAAAGGTAGCCAGGAAGGGCGCCAAGAAAGCGGCGAGCAAGTCGACCGGCAAGAAGGACAGAAAGAGGAGAAGGCCCAGGAGGGAGAGCTACGCCATCTACGTGTACAAGGTGCTTAAGCAGGTCCACCCCGACACCGGCATCTCCTCCAAGGCCATGGGCATCATGAACTCGTTTGTCAGCGACATCTTTGAGCGCATCGCCGGTGAGGCCTCCCGTCTGGCTCACTACAACAAGCGCTCCACCATCACTTCCAGGGAGATCCAGACCGCCGTCCGCTTGCTGCTGCCCGGTGAGCTGGCCAAGCACGCCGTGTCTGAGGGCACCAAGGCCGTCACCAAGTACACCAGCTCTAAGTAGACACTGCTGCTGCCTCCACTACTCAACCAACGGCTCTTTTAAGAGCCACCCACTATATCTTTAAGAGCAAAGTTGGCTGATTCCTACTTCAAATTATTAATACATTGTTGCTTGTGCTGCTAAAGCCTGTACCAGGTAATAGTTACAGCAGATTATGAGAATTTTTAGGAACAAATGGAATCAATTGGAAATGCGTAGCTGTACTACACTGTGTCAGTTACAACTTATGTATATATACTTTTTTTTTTTTTTTTTTTTTTGAAAATATAGTCACATCAAATAAAACTACAACTAGCTGTGACAAGGTGGATGAACAATATTTCCCAAAAAATAGAGTTGTTAATTAGAGGAATGGGGTGGCTGGGTTTTGTGAGTGCGCACATTTGTTTTACACTTTTTTAAATTAAAAATTATTAGATTAGAAGATTAATTGATTTAAATATGAATACTGAATTAATATATCACTGAATTTATTTTAGATTAATTGTATGTTAGGTGAATGAACACAGTGCACAGCAGTATTACTGGACTCCAGCTTCTGTGGTAGTTTACTGTCACGTTCTGTTAAATTCTCTCTGACTGACTAACCCATATGATTCTATTACAGCTTCCTCACATTCTATATATTTAATTTAATCTCACATCATGAATAGTACAACATGCACATTGTACTTTTAATTCACTAATTCTGTTACTATTCCATACACCTGTTCACATGTTTCTTAGCACATAATCACTGAGGTTTATAAATTATATAAATCATATTGTAGAAAGCTGCATACTGGACTATAGGTATTTTAAAGTATTTATCCAAACACATATTGTATTGTATTTATGCCCAAATTGAAGTGATTTCACTGTAGTTAATCCCAGAACGTTGTTAAAGTGTATATATATA